CTTTTTTTTTCTTCTTATATCTTATATTTCAGCTTTCTTTTTCTTGTCCGTCAGGGATGACTGAGACATGCTCATCATTGACCTTCCTGATGCTTTGCGATCCAACGGGAGAAACTTCTATTCCACACTTCCAGAGTTATGCGCAATCAAAATGTCATTCAATATATCAACCAGAGGGTGTTTGTGTTGGCAAACCCGCCCCTCACGTAGAAATGAAGATTTGTTTGGATGATTCTTCTCATGTTGGGAGGATTTTAACCAGAGGACTAAATTTAATGCTTAGGTACTACGATAAAATTTCTCCAAGGCCATCAAATGACGTCAATGAAGTTTGGTTTGATACAGGTGATATTGGTTCAATAGACGACAATGGTAATTTGTGGCTTGTTGGACGATCAAATGGCAGAATAAAAAGTGGTGGAGAGAACATTTACCCCGAGGAGGTATCATCATTATTTTTTCTTATCTGAATTGCGTAATTAGAGAGCTTCTAGACATCTCCTAGTATTCCATTACACCACATTTTTGGTTTTTAATAAAAATGTTTTTGCATTAAGTTACTATGAAATTTCTATAGTAGGGCACCCTTTTAATTATGAGCTACATTCAAATTACCTTTGTTTATCTAATCTCTTTCCCATTTGTCTTCACCTAACAATTTTGTTATGTAGCATTCTTCTTGTCATTGGACAAGAAAACACTGGTGTAAGAAACCAGAACCGATAAATACTCTTTTCCTTCCTGAGAAAAAATTGACAGATATTATACTTATATAATTTAAATCTTGATCTCTTACAAAATATTTGTGCAAAGCGTTCTGTCCAGTCTTCCCACTGATGGAAGCAGTTTCATCGCACTGATGGCAGAGCATATGCGCAAACCTAATCATAGAATGGATCTTTTGCCTGTTGGTTTATTTGGCTTGAGAGAAACCTGAAGGATTTTTAAGGTTTAAGGAGGGCATGGGAAGTTATTTGGAATTAGTACATCGGAATGCCTCTCATGAGAATGTAAAGTTGGATTACATATGAAACCAAGCCTTTATTTACAGGCTTTGATCTAGTTACAAATAGTATAAAAAAAATTAAAGAATCAGAAACACACCACCCTATAGTGCTTAAAATAGTTAACTAGTGGCTTACTTCTAACCTCTACGACGGTTGAACAAAAACGTCAACAGTGAAAAATCCAAAAACAAAACAGTAAACAACAAAGATTGTTTGGTGAGAAATGTAAACACGAGACTACACAAACCTATATCAGTTACTATAGTTCTTACATTATTTCTCTTTGCTTTTGATCGTAAGCAGTCAGAACTCTTTCTGGTAATTTACATTTTCGGAGGCTCCTTCATTAAGTTTCAGCCTGTGTTTTCGTATGTCCTATCTCTGCTTTCTTTCGTCTGCATGAAAGCAGTTCACTTGGCCCCTCCCCCTCCATTATCAAAAGGAAAAAGAAAAAGAACTACAATTCTAGGGGTTGAGAAGTGCATAATACTATTAGATGGCTTTGTATGTCTACTATAGGATATATATACCTTGTTGAAAAATTTCTTGGTTCAATGTCACCATATTGTTTAGGTGTATGGGTTGGACAAAGCCAAAGAAAGTTTGGTTAATAAATGGAAAACAAATTTAACTATTGCAGGGGCATTCGTCTACTAGTTACACTAATATTGATTCATCTTGTGAAGTAGATTACTCAAATGAGTTTACCACAAATGAGGTCAGATAAGTGACATTAAGATTCGTTGAACTATGATTTAAATTATTTGTGCTGATTGTAAATTATTTTTATCATAATTTCATTGCTCTACAGATATTCAAAAGTCGAGAAGCTTTAATTAATTGGACACGAGAGGTTGGAAAGAGAAATGGATTTGTTATAGTCATAAAGACATCTGATGCAGGCGTGAATGGTAGGAGGCCTAGAATTTCTTTTGGTTGTGAGAGAAGTGGGAGTTATAGACGGTTATCAAAATTGGAAGTTTTAGAAGACAAAGGAGCTCGCAAGCTTACTGGAACCAAAAAATGTGGATGCCCTTTTTTATTGAAAGGACAAAAATTGACCACAGATGGTGATTGGATGGTCAAAGTAGTATGTGGGGTACATAATCACGTAGCAAATAAAAATATGGAAGGACATTCATTTGCAGGGAGGTTATCGCAAGAAGAGAATGAAATCTTGATGAACTTGTCTAACTCATCAGTCCGCCCTAAAGATATATTGAGCACATTGAAGAGTCGAGATGCTCGAAATGCTAGCACAATGAAGACCATATATAATGCTCGTCATCGACAAAAGAGAGTTGAGAATAAACAAAAACCAGATATGCAACAACTTTTTGGTGAGTTAGCTACATAATACTAATTGAGCTCCAGAATTTTATGAATTGGTTGTTAGAGTGATAGCAAGCTGTGCCTATGAAATGGGGTCCCATAAATCTCAAGTTGATTTAGGCTCACGAGCTTTGGACAAACTTGTAGGTATGGTTTAGTTGAATTGATAATGGTGTTTAGCATTTTATTTATGCTATCTTATTATTTGAAGTATTTGATATATATTAACAAGAATGAGTGATAGATTACAGGCTTCTGGCTAGATCATAGGCTTTGTACAACCTAACAAGATGGACACTTACGATCTTAATTAGGCACTCTTTTGGGGTAACTCAGCCCCTTTTTCCATGCTTTCTATTGATTAGGTAACATCTCATTGATTACATTAGTTTCAAAAGGAATGAAAACCTCTATCACCCCCCGCCCCATGCTTCCATGCCATTTCCTTCCCAATGCGGCTAGAGCTTTTTTGTGGAATTTTGGCGGGAAAGAGATCATAGGCTCTTCGAAGATAGGATTACTAACCCCGTTAGTCTTTCTACAGATGTTCTTTTTTGTGTGCCATAGCAACAACAATTTTTTTTCTAACTTCCCTATCTCTTTACTTCTTCATGATTGGAGAAGTTTTTGTATGTAGCCTCTTGGGAGGAGGCGATCTCTTCCTCCACCCCTTTGGAAACTCTCTGCTTCCTTTCGAACCACAACTTCCGGAGCGTAGCAGCCACAACATTGAACCATAAAACCGAAGGTTTCCCACGGAAAGGAGACCCATCCATAACTTGAAGCATTGCATTCTTACCGTCTTTGTGGAATCACCACCGCAACCCAAAGAAATTTAGGATCTTGGACCCTCGGCGTCGGTGAAAGAGCATTGAAAGAATAAATGATGATGTTTTTTCAATCGAATCTAATCATGGCACACCACCTAGGAGAAATCATAAGTTTAGGAGATCTCTTTTGGATCTGAACAGAGTTAATATTCCAGTTAAATAAATTTGAACCCTCTGATTTATACTGTCTTTCCATAAGAAGTCATGCATGAATTTCTCTAATCTTTTAGCTACTAATTTTGGGCATTTGAAGCCAGGGCTGAGGGTTAGTAAAGAGGAAGTTGAACTCGTACATCATTTTCATAGTCCTATCCTAATTTTATATCTGTATTCAATGCAAGTTCATTTAATTTTCTGTTTATAATACTTGAGTATGACATGAGATCCTAAGAACTCAATTGTGTCTGTGTCCGCCTGCTGAGGTAAAGAAGAATAGGTTTGAGAAAGCGGATAAGATGTTGACACACAAATGGAATGATTGTTGATGTGTGATCACAAATTCATTGAAATCAATTTAAATTTAGTCCATTTTTAGACTATAGTTGTCTTGGTGGTGTAGGTGGATAGAATTCTATTGCAACATCCCGGAGTTAAAGGCTGTGCTGTGGTGGGCATTCCTGATTCTCGTTTGACAGAGAAGGCTGTGGCTTGTGTTCAATTAGAAGAGGACTGGCAGTGGCATGAAACCAGTCGTGAACTTCTTGATGGAAAGATTAAACCGCATTTATCAACCGCAATTCTTCGTAAACATTGCAAGGACTGTAACTTAACTGGGTAGTTACTCTCTCCACTTCTCTCTTTGATATATTTTTTACTTTGAGCATGCTTTTCCATAATCTACTTTTATTGTTCGAAGGTTCAAGATACCAAAGGAGTTTATCAAGTGGGGGAAGCCATTTCCAGTCACTACAACGGGAAAGTTGAAAAGAGACGCAATTCGAAATGAGGTAATATCTCAGTTTGGATTACTGCGTAGCACCCTTTGAAATGCAACTGGTGAAGCTGCAAAAGCTAAGTCGAGGGAGAACGCCTTCTGATTAAACTTAAATTCATGTTCTTGACATTTAGTTAATGTGATCATTTTTAGATTCTTCCCAAAAGAAATTCCATTGGGAAAGTATAAATAGTTTGTATTTATTGATCATTATTTCTTTTCCATGCTGCCATTTACAATATTTTCACAGTTGCAACTTATCATACAATTTTATATGGCGTCTTTGATGGTGATTTAGATGATGAAGATAATTGTGTTTTAAACTAGATTACATCAACGAGATGAGTTAGATTCACAGTTGCATGTTTGCACATTTAAATTTATTTTGTAACAGTCGGAAAAAAAAAAAAAAAAACAATATTGGAATAAATGGAATAAGAGTTAAATAGTGGGTGGTGTGCCAACGAAGAGGCTGAATCTTGAAGATGGTGGACACAGGCATTGCACCAGCAAAGATGCTAGGCTTTGAAGCGGGCGAGATCTCATATCGATTGGAGAGGAGAACGAAACATTGTTGTTTATAAGAGTGAAAATCTCTCCTCATTAAAAACTTGAAGAGTGAAAATCTCTCCTTAATATACACATTTTTAAAATTTGAGAGGAAGCTTAAAAGAGAAAGTTCAGAGAACAATAGAGTGGACTGCAAACCATTAACCGTTAGAAAATAGGACATACACATGTTGGAAGTTTGATGAGAAGTTAACTAAGTCACAGTACAATACATTTGATGGTTGGTGGAGTTGAAAACAAAGGAAATAATGGAAATGCTGTGTCCCACTCCAACTCTCACCACACATCAAAAATATCTGCTCACACATTGATTTAGGCACTTATTATTCACTTTTTGGTGTCCTTGTTCTTGTTCTTGGCCTTCTCTGCTCTATCCACTAACCAGTTGAAAATGGTGGCATAAACAATCTCCACATTCTCATTCGCCTCGCCTATCAACTGGTGCCACATTCCTGGATAAACCTTCAACGTCTTGTCCTCACTCGCCGCCGATTCGAACACAAATCTCGCCGACTCGCTGTCGCAAACCACATCGTCTTCCCCGTGAACCATCAACATTGGAACCCTGATTTCATGGCAGTTCATTTTTATGTACTTGCAGACTCTGAGAAACTCCAATGCCGTCGCCATTGGTGGCTTTCCTGAAAATCGTCGGTTCGGGTTTTTTGCCACCAATCTCCTCTTCCACTCCTCCTTGTACGACTTGCTTGCGTGGGGCTTTGATGCCACCAATCGCAGGGACGGCGCTAAAGACGCTGCTATTGGAAGAAGCTTCTCCAATGGCCAAATCGGTCTGAATTTCGCCGAGATTCCACACATGGAGCCGTTTAACACGATTCCGCTCCAAACCCCCTCTTGCTTCAAGCAAATCAGGATCGAAATCGCACCGCCTAGCGATTCCCCGTACAGAAAAGCAGGGAGGGTAGGATTCTGTTCTCGAACAGAGTCGAAAAACAGAGTACAGTCGAGAACGAGTAGTTCGATGTCTGGGATTGAACCAGGGGCGCCGTCGGATCGGCCATGGCCTTGAAGGTCGAGAGAGCAAACAAGGAATCCAGATTTGGCTAGGGCAACGGCAGTGAGCTCAAATATCCAGCCACTGTCAGAGGTGTAGCCATGGACCATGGCGACAACCCCTTTGAGCTCTGAGTCAGAAACAGGTCGCCATGACTGAGTGAAGATTTTCATCTTCTGGGCATTGAGAATGAAGGTTTCCTGGTGAGTAACATTGTGTTTCTGGTAGAAGTCTTCCCTTGTTAGGCCTCCATAGGGGCTGTTCTCGTTGGCCTGGTTTATTGGGTGCGCCATTTTCAGGAAGGATTCTCGAGCAAGGAAGAAGATAAACTAGAAGTGGTGGGCTGTGGTAGTTTGTGAAGAAGAATGAGTGTGAGGAAATGTGTTGAATAAGATATGGAGAATTGAATGGGGCAATGTTGATGGTGTAGGGGCCAAGAACATTATGAAGGGCATAAATACATGGAAGGAGTAGGAATTTTTCTGGAAAATGAAATGAATGGATGTCTGATGAGGTGGCGACTGAAGTAATTCAAATTTCGGTAACGGCCGTTGGTGGTTTTTAGAAGGCTAAAGTATTTAATTTCCACCTTATGATTTATATATATATCTTATTTGAAATAACTGAGATTACTATTAATAATAAATGGAAATTATTATATTTTAATTAGTTATATAGTTTTATTATAAATTATAGCCAGCTGTCATCTCCTGTCTTAGCCAACACAAACATCTTAACCATTCATTATCTCATATTTAAATTATTTTTCTAACTCGCGTTCTTCATTTCCATTTTTCCAGAAGGCTCTGATGCGCCCGTGAGTAGCTTGCTGCCCAACTACTAATTAATCATCCTATTTATTTTCGTAACATTTTTTAATGAATAAAATAAAGAATGATTCCGATTCCCACGTGCATCCAGAAACTGGGCCTTTTGATGGACTGGGCTTAGCCCACAAATGTTGTCCACCTGTATTTGGGCCTTTTGTTAATAAAATTTTAACTACACATTGATTCGAATTAGAGTTCGATCATGGTAAAAGAAAAACATGGGAAAATATAAAAAATAAAAAATATCCAAATACAAACAAACTGTGAATCGTGTACACACCTGTTACATCAGTTACCAGAATCTTAATTTTCAGTTTAGATGGGGCACATCGTGTAAATACCGACTTTTCGGAGGGCCCGGTTCTTGTCTCTACTTTCCCTCTCCCGCTCAAAGATTCCCTCTCTTCCCACCTTGCTTTCGTTTTTCCTCTGCAAAACCCTAATTTAGCTTCGCTGATAAACAGAAGAGCCAATTCCAATTATTAGTTCACCATTGGGGGACCCGGGAACATTCTCTTTGTTGTCGTCTTGAGGTTTCCAGAAGCTGTTCACCCTTTCTTTCTCCACCACTTCACTTCTGCTCTGCTTCAACAGTAAGTACCAAATGTGTTTTTCTTTTTCGGTGTTTTAGCTTTTTTTTTTTTTTTTTTGGTATTTGGAGTAGTCTTCTTGCTCGAGTTGGAGAGACGTAGACGGTTGGTTCTCGAGCACTTGCTCAGTTGCCAATGAAGTATTCGGGAAAGGGATGCTTGAAATTTTGGCCAATGTTGATGAGGAAAGCCATTTTAGTATCATATCATTCACCCCTTTTCCTCCTCTCTGAAAGTTCGATGTCATTAGAAGAGTAGAGTTTAGTTTCGCGTTCATTCATCTTCCCGGTGATCAGGTTGGGACTCTTCTACGATATGGTTCATTCCCTTCCCATTCGACCATGTTCATTGCATTTTGGTTTAACTCAATAACGCATGAGTTTTCTTGTTTTCCTCATCAGGATACCATTGCAAGTATACAACGATATGGACGCTAATGCGACTTTGGAGGACAACGGTAACATACAGCTAACCGGAACTGATAAACAAGATGATTATCCGGGTGATGACTTCCTCGAGGATTTTGACTCGTATTGGCAAGACATTAATGACCGGTTGACCATTTCGAGGATGGTAAGTGACTCTGTTATCAAAGGTATGGTAAATGCAGTTTCTCAGGAGGCACATGAGAAAATCACTCAGAAAGAATTGGAGGTGTCTGAATTGAAGGAAATAATACATTCTTACCTCTTGGATTCTGAGAAGACTAAGTTTATGATGTCTCCATTGAGGTTGTGTAAGCTAAAAAGTACAGAATGTGACAGAATTGACAGCATCTGTGGTGCTTTCTTTGAACACGATGAAATGAGAGAATCGATGTGCAGCCTAAGGAACACAGCTAAGGAAAACTTCAAGAAACTAAAGAAAGAACTTGATGGAATAAGAGGTTGCAATTCAAGTAGAAAGATCAATTCAGGCTCCGAGTTGGTTGGACTTGGATTGAGTGGTATACTACAAGAAAAAGCATCTTCGAGATATATTGATGTCGGAAGAATAGTTGATGATCTTCAAGATAATTTAGATACTTTCTATAATCAGGTGGAAGATATAGTTCAATTGTCAAAAGCATCTTTTGGTCAGTGGCAAGTTGAGCAGGAGTACCTAGCAGATATTGAAGGCATGGTGATCAGAAATTATATCTGGAGTATCCAACAAGATTTTGAGGAGAAATTGTGGGACCAAAATGCTAAAATTTTGAGTAATGAAAGAAAGATATCAGCTGAAAAGATGAAAGAAATTTCAAGTTTATGTCAAGAATTAGGTAAAATTTCAAAATCACTATGTCCTTCTGAAGTTGGACATTTGATTTCCTGTAGTTCCACGGATTCTGATCATTCTCAGCGGAAGTTATTAAGTAGTCATATGAATCCATCGACTTTGCATTGGGAAGGAAATGGCAAACATGAAATGTCCAAGACGAATCTTCCTGAGAATGTGGATCCTAGTCGTCTGAATCATATGAAAAAAGATGAATTAATTAATCATTTTAACACTGTGATGACAAAAATGAGTAGAAACCATGAGTCCCAAGTACATGAAATTACCGAAGAAAATTTCACTCTCAAGAGAGAAATTCTGAAAGAAAGAGAGAAGTCATCTTTGTTAAAGAAGGATAAAGAGTTTGACATACTAAGGAGAAAAATCCCTGACATTATTCTAAAATTAGATGACATTCTTTTGGAAAATGAGAAGCTACGGTTGTCTAGTGCTAATAATGAGAGCCTAGGCACAATGAGGAATAGACTGGAGTCGCTTATTTCAGAAAATCACCACCTTAAGGACTTGCTTGGAGAAAAGAAAAAGGAGGTTAAGTGTTTGTCTTCTCAAGTTTCAAGCCATGCTGAGAAAATGTCTCAACATTCTCTTTTAGTTTCTGAGTCATTGACTACGATTGAAAAAAATAAATGTGAGATGCAGGATGCACAATTTGAAGCCTCAATCTGTCAGGATATATTTAAATGCTTTTTAAGGGAGATGATGGACCAAATCAGATGTGCCACTGAGGAGTCAGCTTGGAGATATGATATCATGCAGGGAGTTTATGAAACTATCTTTGAAGGAGCATCTTTCCTAGGTGAGCTTGCTAGTACGTCGGAAGATGAACATTTGGATGAGGAATCCATCACTATGCAGTGTCTTCTAGGAGTGGTTTTACAAGAATCCTTGAAAGAAGCTGAGGAGAAAATGACTAGCTTGAACAACAGATATATGGAAGAGATGAGTACTCGACTGTCCCTAGAAAAGGAGATGTTACATTCTGGAGAGGCATTAAGAGTAGAGGTTTCCGAAAAAGAGATGTTAGAAGCAGAACTGATATCACTTAGAGCATTATTAAAAGAAAAAGAACAGCTCGTGCAAGAAATAACTTTTGTATTAGAGAAAGAGAAAGCGAAGCTGGCTTTAGCTTATAAAGAGGTTGGCTCATTGAAGGATCAGACCAGTAGGCAGGAAATACTGATTTTGAAAAGTCATGAAGAGCTCAATATTACCAAGCTTAAATTGACAGAGGCCATGCAAAAAGTTGGATTACTTGAGGTGGAAACATGTGAATCAAAACAGAACCTTGAACAAGCAATGGCAGAATTTAGCAAGGTTGATGAGGAGAGGAGGATGCTTGTTTCCATGGTGTCAGAGAATCAGAAGACTAAGTTATTGGTTGAGGAGAAAGAAAAGGAATCTAGAAAGCAGATGGAATCAGTAATTTTTGTTGTCCAGGAATTATTAAAAGAAGTTTTTGATTTTGAACATAGAGTGATTGACTATATTTCAAGGAACAATGGAAGGTACTTGACATATACGTTAATAGTTTGTTCTGATATTGTTGTTGCAACTTGGATTATTGGTAATTTTCAAAATTGTGTATTCCATTTATTCTTTGTCACTGGCATGGCTATGCTTGATGCTTATGCTTCTAGCGGGAAGCTAAGACCATGTCTTCTGATCTTACCTTAGTTACCCCTGCTCATGTGGCCCGGAGGTGGAAGATGGGGTTACTTTAGTAGGTTGTTTCTTTGTGGGATGTAAATACCATGTCGGTGTCATGGCTGGATTGCAGTTTTTCTGTTAACATATCACATTTTCCTTGATTAATTATGCCCTTCTGACAGGAGTCTATGAGGAAGGATTGGATATCGAGGTGGAGTTGTAGCACACCATGCCCTTAAGTTATTATTAAGACACCTAACTTTATTTCAAAATGTTTTTAAAGTTCTCGACTATACATTTGTCTTCTTTTGGCATTAGATCCGTTATCATTCCTTCTCATATTGAGATTTTACCTTCATATTCACGTACATGAAGTAACTTTTTTTAAATCACATACATGAAGTAACCGATTCATTTAGACATGGTGTAGAATATCATCATTTTTTGAGGAATGCTTTCTTTTTTATGTTTATTATCTTGAATTGAAAAACATGCTGGAGTTTGCTTCTTTTTCTTCCTTTTGATACTTTGTGATGAGAGCCTAAAGGTCCTTAACCAATATGAAATTATTCACTGCCTTATTTTGTTATCGCTAAAAAAGCTGTGCTCATATAAGCTAAATCAGTTGATGATTGATCACTCCACGTTTTAATCAAACCAAATAACGTGTCAAGATTCTTGTTACTCCATGTTTTGATTAAATGAGAAACTTGTCAAGAAGCTCGTTTCTTTAAGTTTTTAGATCAATATTCGTTCTTCATAAGCATGAGCGTGAGCTAGACTGATGCCGATATGAATTCTTCTTCCCCTAGCTTCTACCATTCCCTTACTACCTCTCCGTTTAACTGTCCATTCACTGGAATGCTTAACCTCTTATTTTGCCTCATAAATGAATAAAAATTACTAGTCCTTGTTACTCTTCTTAATTAGTCCTGTATATTTTTTTGGTTTAAATGTTTCGTGCTAAAATTTATGCTCCGAAGCCATTAATTTGTAGTTTTTCTTTCAGGTTGGAGAGATTGAGTTCTGAGACAAAGTCACTTATCCAGAAAGCCTCTATGGTGAAAAGGGAAGGATTGCTCTACAAGCAGAAGCTTGAGAAGAGGTGTTCTGACCTTCAAAAGGCTGAAGCTGAGGTACTAAAGCAGATTTTCCAAGTGAACCAATTTGTTTGTTCTATTTTCTGATATTGAATTTTCGTTTATGGAACTTAATACATGCCGCCAGTTGTGATGCACATTTTATGTCTACTTTTTTACAATGATTTTCTGGTTCTTCCGTTCTTTAGAAATTAGAGGAGTATTACCATTTGATTAACTACGACAGTTGATCTTCCTATTAATTTTATGTTTGAAACCCATTTTCTCAATAAATGATTCAGGCTTCTGAGATATTATTTCTAAGAGTTTTAAGAATCTATTATTATTTTTAATGTAAGAATTCTAAGTTCTCCACAATTAATTAAAAGAAAGGAATGCATGCTTAATAAATTTAAAGCTAAAGGAACTTCCAAATGTTTTGGTTGCTTGAAAGACGTCTAGAAGAAGCCTCATTAATTACTAAGCTGTTGTTCTGAAATTCTGCAGTTTCTGGTTTACGTATTGGATCTTCATTTTCTCTGGATATGGTGTTTGTTCTCTTGTTATTCTCCCACTACGTCTGTTACAGGCTTACAGCTATTGATTTGCTTTTCTGTTTCAGGTCGATCTTTTGGGGGATGAGGTTGCTGCCCTTTTAAGACTTCTTGGAAAGATGCACATTGAGCTTGATCGTTATTCACCAATATTGAAACATTATCCTGGAGTAAGCTGCATGTCCTTCAATTTTTAGTTGATTTCTTTATTCTTGCATACGCCCCTGTTAAGCTTGATCGTTAAATACATTTTTTTTTCACATTACCACAATTACTTTGGGGTTCTTTTAGCTATCTAACTTGCGCGAGCTTGGAGTAAAATAAGTTATGGATCTTCTGTGATTAAATGTGTGTGTGTGTATATATAACTCTATTCACTAATGCCTTAAATTTGTCAATAATTTATACTTACATTTTCTTTTCGATCATAGATTGTTAAGATCATGAAGCTTGTAAAAAGAGAATTGAGTGGAGATATGACAGAAGCTTTTTGACATGCTTTGACGAGGTAACATCTATAATCAAATAGACACATCCTAATCCATTTCTACCCTATTTATTGAGTTTGTAGCGATGCAGTACCTTGTAATTGAGATGCAACTTTGAATGAATTTCATTTGGAAGATGATATATACAATAGGTTATTGTACATATTGGGGTGTTTTCTGGGAAACAATCATCATACCATTTGTTTTTTGTTTGTTTTCTTGGACAGGTAAAAGGCTGTGAGTTCCCTGCTGCATGTTTTGCGATGCAGGATTTCTGGAAACACATTATTTCTAAGCTATACATCGCCTCCAGAAAGGGAGGAACAACTGTAAGTAGATAGTTAACTAGCTGCGTGGAGGAAAAAAAACCCATGCTCTCAAAACTTCAGTTACCAGTCCCAATCTCATCGGACTTCAACCTGAGAAAATCTATGGGCAGAAATGGGATTAACACAACAGCAATATAGATTGGAGAACACGATTTTTGTAGGTATAAAATAAGCCAATCTTTTTGTCACGGGGCTTGTAGGCTCCTCCTTTTCAGTTTAACCCTTAGGGTTCTTTTTGTTAGATGTTTAGTGTCTGTCATATTTCTCTTTTCTCTCTTTCCTTTGTTGTAAAGGTTCTTTCATCCAGTAAATCAAATAAAAGAATAGTCAATACATAGAACATTCATGTTCTTTTTCAACATATGCCTATGATTGGGTCGAAATTCATGAATCAGAACACTTCATCTATCTCCTTCACTAGATGGAGAAAGTTAATCATAGACTAGAGAGTGGAGTTTTGTGATCAATTTGGAATCTGCAAGTTGTTAAGTTAGGGACAGTGTCGGTGATTTCATTGTTTCTTTAGCTTAATGCCTGTAGGCGTTGTTTGTGAGTCAAAATCATGCTGTGGAGACAAGTTTGGGTTTAGGCTTTTAATAACCTCCCCTGTTCCTTTCCCTTTTTCAGCACTAATCTTAAACACAATAATGGGATTGTAAAATAATCAATAGTTGTTGGCATATCAAATCGAATCTGAATAATGAAGGGAAAAAAGTCGGGGTTTTCTTTTTAAAATGTGGATGGATCCGACAAGACTTGGTATTCTTTTGTTAAAATGTTGGGGCATCTGTGTATGGAGGGAGCTTTGATTGTGATGGAGAAGTCTAGCCAAATGAAGGGCCACCGATTGCCAGAACTGTCCCATTTTTGGGACACTTCCATTTCATAGCTGATTTGAAAATGCATTCTTTTGTCCATTCGTGATTAATACTTGCATATGAAATTCTACTGACTTCCTCTTTGATGTGGTTTGTTTCTAGTGATTAATTATTTTCTTAACGAAATTTACGAAAGTTGCATTTGTCCACCATATTTCACTCTTTGATCTCTTGGGAATATTGCAGCCTATGCTTTTATCTTATTAGTTCGTTCTGGTAGCACCGACCTCCAGTCGGTGTCGAGACATTATGTATTTTTGATTGGATGGCAATTTCTGTGTGTATGCAAGAGTTTGTTGGAGACAGGAAAGAGAGAGAGAAGTGAAGTTGATCTGGAGATGTGGAACGTTGTATGGAAACAAACAAGGGCTTTGCTTTGCTGAATTCGAGGTAAACCTCTTTTGGATTCAAAATCTAATTATTAAAACGATCATGGAAATAAAGTAAGGATAGCCATGTGTATGGGATTGGGTCCAGCTTGAATATAAAAATATGTGTTGACTCTTTAAAAAATTATACTAATTTGTCTGTTGGTGGAAAGGGGGCTGTTTATTTTATCATTGATTGGCTTTTTTAAACATCTATGCTTAAAATCTATCATTGTACTAATTTTTTTTTTAATATTTTATTTCATGAGTGTCACTCTTCTCTTATTTTAGTATCTATTCATGATAGCCCACGTAGTGAACTATTCTTATACCTTAGTTATTGTTAGTTTTGAGATGCTATTTGACTTTCATGTATATATTTGGTTATTTTGTAGATTTTGAGCATTTGAAGTTCAATCGGTGTTTTTATTTTTATTCTTATAGGAATTGTTGGAAAAAAAATGTGATCAGTGAGTCCAAGTGATGCAAAAAAGAACGGAGGGGGAAACGAAATAAATGAGCCAATACAATGCCAATTGCAGCAAGCTTCGACCACTTATCCGCTAATGAAAAGAACGCGAGTGGCTAAGAAAAATTAAAGGTCAAAGGCCAATACTTGACACTCATAGTACTTATATTAAAATGTGACACCTTGCCCGTGTGATTTTGCATTGCATAAAATATTCAACCATAAGATATTTTTAAAAATGCATAAAAGTTTTAGGGCTTTATTCTATATAAATTTATTTTTTTTTTAATATGTCAATACCTATTAAAACTAAAATTGGAAGGTCAAGATCATATTAGACATTTTAAAAGTTCAACTAACTATAAGACACAAAATTGACTTTCAAGACTTAGTAGATGCTTTTTATAAGTGTATGAACCAAATATCTCTAAAAAAAATCATTTATGAATATATGAGCTAACTTAAATTCACATCAACTAATCTTCCAAGAAAGCTCAGAAAAAAAAAATGAATGACTACCTCCTGGAATATGCATAGCCCTACTATTAACACTATGAGCCAAAATATATTAAGCTTTTTTTTTAAGAGAATAGTGGCAGATGCACTGCTTTGATCAAATCTTTTGCTCTATAATATAATATCGGCTGAAAATAGTCTCAGCCATGAAAAATATAAATATTTTTGAATCAATCTTTACTCTCATTATTTTGTAGAGTGAGTGACCTTTGACTCATCCATATTAATACGAGGCCAAGAATGAAGCTGAAAAGAACTTCAAATGTAGTGGTCGAAATGAGAAGTGACAACAAAGTGGAAGGCAATTGCTGGATATAAAATCAAGACTGGATCTTGAAGGTAAGTGAAGAGTGAGGACAATTAGAGGTACCATGTGGTACGGAATAGCAAAAGATAAGCATAAAAAGGCCTTTATTTTATGGCTTTAAGTGGGAAGAGAATGGTAGTTTTTGAGAAAATGCCGCAAGAATAATTGCTTTGCTCATCTTCCTCCAGACACAAGCATGTGACCCACCTCGCAAATAATGGAATGGAGCCCCATCTCTGGCAACCCAAAACCTGCCTCCTCCATACCAAGACATAACGCCATAAAGTAAAGCTTTTTGTGAGAGAGAAACAAGACAGTCAAAACATTGCATTTCGGTTACTTCACACATTACTTTTCCGGGAATTTGTATTTCGTGCGTGCGTTTCAATGGTGTCAGATCTTTTGGCCCTTTGGTGAGGGAGAAGATATGGCAACGAAGCAATATCGTATCGACCCTTCTATCTGTTTCCAGCAACAACCACCCATGTTCTAAATTCTCTCTTTTTTGTTGGAGAGAAAACCCACTTCAATGCTCCTTCCTTGATTTTCGTGTGGGGGTTTGTTTGTTTTTTTTCCTTCTCTGTTTATTTTGGTTTCTGTATCCTGTTGAGACCCTTCCCCTCCGAGTTCATGTTGTTCAGATCTGCCAGTTAGCTGAGGCTGTTGGTAAGAAATGAAGGATGATTCCTATGCCTTAGAGGTAATACAATATTCTTGCAGTTGAAGTTTCTATTGGAGTTGGGACACTCAATTACTGAATGGGTTTTGATGGGTTTATGATTCCTGTTTGTTCATGAGTGTTGGCTGAATCATAGTTGATATTTTCTTTTTTCTTCATATTGAAAGAGCTTATAAGACCAGATTTCGTTTATTGGGGAAGATGGGGAAGTTTCAAATCCGGAAATTCTTGGTTCCTCTACTACTTCTGATAATTTCTGAGTATCTACTAACTGGAGACGCCAAAACCAATTCTCTTTTCATCAACTGTGGCTCAAGCTCAAACGAAACTGCTGATGGGCGGAAATGGATTGGCGACCTGACTTCCGAAGTGAACTTTTCCGTGGGTAATCTTGGTGCTAATGTCAATGCCTCCACTGACACTTTAAACGGCGATTCAGTCTTTGAGCCGCTGTACAAAACTGCTCGGATATTTACTAATTCCCTGAACTATACTTTTAAAGGCGTTTGGGGTAATCATATTGTTCGCCTCCATTTCTGCCCCTTTCCTTTTGAGAACTTCAATGTGAACGAGTCATCATTTTCTGTCTCAGCAAATGGTCTTAGACTGGTTTCAGAGTTCAGCGTTCCCAATGAGATTGCATATAAGAATATGGAGTTTCAGCGTTCTGGGGTCAATTCAAGTTCATTCTCTTTGATTAAAGAGTTCATTATTTCTGTCAATTCAGAAGCATTTGTTCTTGAGTTCTCTCCTTCTGGAGGATCATTTGGGTTCATTAATGCTATTGAAATCGTCCCCCTGGTGAATGAGCTTTTTGCAGGTTCGATTGATAAGGTGGGTGGAAGTGCTGTTAGTTTGAATGTGAGTGAAAGGGGAGCTGAAACTATGTACAGATTGAATGTTGGAGGTTCGGTGATCAAGCCCACTCAAGATTCAAATCTTTGGAGAATGTGGGAAGTGGACTCGAGTTATATGATTACAGCAGATGCTGGGTCGGAGATACATAACAGTTCTAATGTAACGTATGCTTCCATGAATGACTCTATTGTAGCTCCTCTCCCTGTGTATGAAACAGCCAGAACGATGTCCGAGACAGAAGTGCTCGAGAAAAGATTCAACATGTCGTGGAAATTTGAAGTTCATCCTGGTTTCGAATATTTGATTAGATTACATTTCTGTGAGCTGCTGTATGACAAGGCAAGAGAGAGGGTTTTCAAGATTTACATAAACAATCGAACTGCAGTTGAGAGTTTTGATGTGTTTGTACGAGCGGGGGGGATGAACAGAGCATATCATGTGGATTTTCTTGAACCAATATCATCCAAAATCAACACCCTTTGGATTCAACTAGGCCCTGATACGGCTGCAGGTGCTGCCGGAACAGATGCTCTCTTGAATGGTCTGGAAATATTTAAGCTGAGTCAAAATGGGAATCTTGCGTTCATTGACAGGTTTAATGCCTTGGAACAGTCCATGGGAAACTCGAAATCTCAAATTCTTTGGATAGGCATTGGAGCAGGTTTGGCATCTGTTGTTTTCCTTGCTGTTATTGTCTTTCTCACCATCTATTTCTGCAGAAACCGGAGGAGGAATTTTACTAAGAAGAACTCTTCTAAGTGGAGAGCAGGATCCAGTCATGGGGCCACTGTCACCAGCACCTTGGGGGGAGGCCAAAGTGTATTTGGGACCTTGCCATCTACCAGAGTTGGCAAATGGTTTACATTAGCAGAGATTCTTGCAGCAACAGATAACTTTGATGAAGCTCTGATGATCGGAGTTGGCGGTTTTGGTAAGGTCTACAGAGGGGAGATTGATGATGGTACTCTTGTGGCAATCAAGAGAGCAAACCCGCAGTCTCAGCAGGGACTTGCCGAGTTCGAGACTGAAATTGAAATGCTTTCTAAACTTAGGCATAGGCATCTGGTCTCCATGATCGGCTTTTGCGACGAGCAAAAGGAAATGATCTTGGTTTACGAATACATGGCGAATGGCACTCTAAGAAGCCATCTCTTTGGGAGTGATCTCCCACCTTTGACATGGAAGCAGCGATTGGAAGTGTGCATTGGTGCAGCCAGGGGACTCCATTACCTTCACACAGGAGCTGAGAGAGGAATAATCCACAGAGATGTGAAGACAACCAACATACTCTTGGATGAGAACTTTGTTGCAAAAATGTCTGATTTTGGTCTTTCAAAAACAGGTCCTGCTTTGGATCATACCCATGTTAGTACTGCAGTTAAGGGCAGCTTTGGCTACCTCGATCCAGAGTATTTCAGGCGCCAGCAGTTGAGTGAAAAATCTGATGTCTATTCTTTTGGTGTGGTATTGTTAGAAGTTGTTTGTGCACGAGCTGTTATAAACCCAACTTTGCCCAAGGATCAGATAAATCTTGCAGAATGGGCAATGAAATGGCAGCGCAAAAAGTTGCTGCACACCATCATAGACTCACATCTCAAAGACAAGTATTGCCCTGAGTCTCTTAAAACATTTGGAGAGATAGCAGAAAAATGCCTTGCTGATGAAGGGAAGATTCGTCCAACAATGGGGGAAGTTCTATGGCACCTAGAATTTGCTCTGCAACTCCATGATGCTTGGATCCGCACCAATGATGCTCAAAGTTCTTGCACAGTAAACTCAGAAGGAGCCCAAGCTGAGGAACAGAGGGTAGAAGTTGATCGGGAAGAGGAAAGCTCCAGCTTGAAAGCTTAACTGATCACTTGTCCTAATGGATTTGGTCACATAACTAGTAAGGCCAACTGCCTATATTCAATTAAATCTTTATTTCTTTGTCATATTCTTTCGGATTTGTTCTTCCACTATAGCAGTATGAATCTTAGATTTTCCTGCTTCCTTGTAGCTCTCTACTGATATCTGCATTATTGTATTGCTCAAAATGTAATTTGTCATACACGATAGGCTTCTCCGCTTGCAACAATGGGTGTCTTCTGCTAATCATCATTGCATTTCTTCATAAACATCTTTCCAATTCTGCTCAGTTTCCTCCAAATATCATTTATTTTGTTGAGTCTGCTATCATCTAGAAAGTGATTTGAAGTACAGTTTTGCTGCTTATATCAAGTAGTTGTTCTCCACATTTTAAGAAGAAAGTGATTAGCCAGAGATGTTATAGAGTCAAAACCAAACTGTTCTGAGCATCAATGGCCGTTTCATGAACTCCTCTGAAAATCTAAAGAGCCGTGGAGATGTTCAGTGGAAGGTAACAACAGTGCAGGAGATATCATCGTAGCTCTTCTTAGACAAAGCCTCTTTGATCAACTCCTCTGAAGCCTTTTGAGCGTCCATAGCCATTGCTCTGATGCAATGACAAGCCTCCTGGTTTGAAATTACCTGCATTTCCAAACAAAAAACCAAAACAGAGCACCATCTCAGTACCTCTTAGGATCAAATCAGCCAGCCCTGTAAGTTACCATTGGTTTACTGTACAAGAAAGATTAATTATGGAACAAGTTCTCATTATCTCTGAGCTTTCCTTAGATTTTTCTTGTTGAGTCAATGTTTTTATGAACTTAGCCTTCAGGGCCTGCAGTGTACAGAAAAAGTCAGAAAAGAAGAACACTTCTACATGTGAAATATCTTTCCCTTTCCAAATAAAAGCTCAACAGTACAGCAAAATAACATGTTGTAGGGTACCCCACAAAAAATCATAGAATGTTGGGTGTGGTGACTACATGTCGTTTTATACATCATTCAGAAAGCTTTATTAAATAATGGAAGGGAGGTTGAAGAATTTTTCGTAGCTTAAGAACATTAAAGTATATATATATCTAGTGCCGCCATGTCTGAATCTCAAAATGAATATGAGGAGGATTTATTTTACCATTTCAAACATACATGGTGGGACGGCCAAATTAGACTCCTTCAAATTCATCAACCTTTCCTTCATCCATATTCTGTCTATAAAAGGAAGCCTTTTGGATTCTCATTTCATAAACTCTTTAATTCTCTTCTGCAAGCCCACCTATATATTATATATCCTTCTCCCTTATTGCTTCATTGGTCATGGCATCCAAAGCTATCATTTTGGAACTTCTCATTGCAACCTGTGTCGTTGCTGTTTTCGCATCTGATCCCAGTCCTCTTCAAGACTTTTGCGTTGCAGATCCGAATAGTATGGGTAAGTAGATCAGTAATCCTTTCAAACATCTAACCTCTTACTCGATGACTTAGCTTAGCTTAGCTGGGTAGCTTTCAAAGGTTATTTTAACTTAGTTTTTTGGTTATGCTTTTGCAGTGAAAGTGAATGGAGGTGTGTGTAAAGATCCCAAAGCTGTGACAGCTGATGATTTCTTCTTTAATGGACTCAACAAAGTAGGGAACACATCAAATCCAGTGGGATCTCGAGTGAGCGCTGTGAATGTGGTTCAAATCCCTGGGCTCAACACTCTTGGCATCTCTTTGGCACGTGTCGACTATGCGCCGAGGGGCATCAACCCGCCACACACTCACCCGCGTGCCACCGAGATCTTGACTGTCCTGGAAGGAACTCTCCTCGTCGGCTTTGTCACCTCCAACACCGAGAATCGTCTCTTCACCAAGGTGCTTCAGAAGGGTGATGTGTTTGTTTTTCCCATTGGTCTCATTCACTTCCAGCAGAACATCGGACACGGACACGCTGTTGCTATCGCCGCGCTCAGTAGCCAGAACCCCGGGGTTATTACCATTGCTAATGCTGTGTTTGGCTCCAATCCTGACATCCCAACTGATGTTCTTGCAAAGGCTTTCCAAACTCATAAACCCATTATCGCTGGAATTCAAGCCAAGTTCTAGACAACTTTTATGTTTTGAGTTCTCCTGATTGTGATCAAATCTTTGATTCTTTATTTTCTTGGATGTGTGTTTGTGTTTGTATACATTTTGTGAGGAGTCCTTAATTTGTTTGATTATCAGCTGTAATTTTTTTTTTTTTATTGATTTGAATGGGAGTGCATCATTTTACCATGGTTATTTGAATTTGCATGGGAAAGCTTCTCCATCTCCATCCCACGCTACGCCACAAGAAGATCAAAAAATACGAGATTGTATCCGGAATTTTGTACAAAAAAAAACATGACAGGACATCTCTAATTCGGTTTAACTGCTTTATATATCGTTTTAACGTGAGTCGTGGTAGATTAATTTAATTAAGAAATTTAGATTTTTTTTTTTTTTTTTTTTTTTTTTTTTTTTTTTTTTTTTTTTTTTTTTTTTTTTTTTTTTTTTTTTTTTTTTTTTTTTTTTTGTGGGTGAGTTCAACAATATTAAAGTAATATTTAATAAATCCAAAATATTTTATATTACTTGTAATGAATTGTATGGTCCTTTCTAAGAACATGTTAAACAGCTCAAAAAATTAATAATAACAAAGCATAGAATAATCAATCAATTTTTATTGAACAAAATATTGGGACCAAACAAAACAACACTCTCAAACGAAAATAATATTTAAAAACACAATGATTATTGAAACTCAACACAATGGACCTATTTGACATTGGACGCACACAACACAGCTTAACATTAAAGAAGTGGGCTTAAAATTTGGACTGAATCTTGGTGATGGTGGCCTCCTCAACCTGGAATGCTTTGGCCAGAATGTTGGCCGGAATATCAGGGTTAGACCCGAACACTGCATTTGCAATGGTGATGACGCCCGGGTTCTGGCTGCTGAGAGCGGCGAGAGCCACGGCGGGCCCGTACCCGATGTTCTGTTGGAAGTGAATGAGACCCACCGGAAAAACAAACACATCGCCCTTGTAAAGCACCTTGGTGAAGAGACGATTGTCGGTGTTGGAGGTGACGAAGCCGACGAGGAGTGTGCCTTCGAGGACGGTCAGAATCTCGGTAGCGCGCGGGTGCGTGTGGGGCGGGTTGATCCCCCAGGGAGCATAGTCGACACGAGCCAAGGAGATGCCGAGCGTGTTGAGCCCAGGGATTTGCACCACATTGACAGCAGTCACTCGAGAGCCCACTGGGCCGGACGTGTTGCCTGCTTTGTTAAGCCCACTGAAGAAGAAATCATCCGCAGTCGCAAGCTTAGGGTCCTTGCACACCACGCCGTTCACTTTCACTGCCAAAACCATCAGTTATACACCAACCCCATTAACCAAAACTACAAGATTCAGAACATAATATGAACACTACCTGTACTATTGGCATACGCAACGCAGAAATCTTGAAGAGGGCTTGGATCAGACGCCATAACAACACAAGAAGTGACAAGAAGAAGTGGCACAAGGAGAAGGAGCTGAGCAGAAGCCATGTTAGTACAAGCTTTGTGTTCAAGTCTCTATAAGGAGTGGAGTGAAGGAACGGGGGAGGCCATGGAGCTGACTTTATAGGTAAATTCAAATTTGTAATCCTGTCTGAGTATTATAAATATTTGATTAAATTAAGGTTCTGGATTAGGGATAAGGCGCAGCCGGCTCACCAAATGGAAACCTCCAATTTTGGCTCAACCTATAACTGCTCAGTTGTTGTTGTATGGTCAATTCAGTTCTAATAGTTAGGTTATATGAATCCATAACCAAAACAATCATGCCTTAAACAAAAATATACTTAATAATATAAGGTCAGCACTACACATTTTTTAAAAAATATTTTTAATTATTAGCTCACAAATGGCTATAAGATGGGAATACATGCATATACATATATTGTCTGCTGGCGGCCATGTCCGAGTTTAAGATGAATATGAGAGAAGCATTCGAAGCACCTAAGAACAAATAAGTGGGCTTGGGCCTGGGCCTGGGCCTGGGCCTTTTACTTTTTTTAGTTTAGATTTGTATATTATACAAAATATTGAAAATTTAGAAAAAAAAAAATCATTTTAATTTCAATCCTTTGAGAGAGCTTCATTTATTACATAATAATGACACATTAGCATAACAGGGTTGTTGAGGGATCTTTTTTTTCAGTTGAAAAGAAAAACAATAATTTTGGAAGGGTCACGCGTTGTCCCCTCCATTTTTTTTTTTAAATTATTATATTTATATATTTATTGGTTTTGTATTAAAACNCACTCTCTTTAAACCTCTCTTCTTCCCTCTCTGTTCTGTGTCTGTGTTTCTAATAAAGTGCTGAAGCGAAGCATGGGTCTTCCATGGAAGAACGCCAAGGCCAATCCACTCTCCCGTATTGTCTCCGATCTCCAGCCTCCCTCCCTCGTCCTCCAAACCGGCTTCCCCACCTCCGTCGTCGATCTCTTCGTCAGGAATCGCCACCGAATCAGGAGACGCTCCTTCAATACGACCAGCCACGAACGCTGCCCTCTCCACGCCCCGCCTCCCTCTCCCTCCCTCACCCCTCATACTTCCCCCGCCGCTCCACACTCACTCCATGCTCTCCAACAGGACTCCATGCCGGCTCATGTGGAATTCAATGTGGGCTCTGGCCGATCGAATGCCAATGCCAATGCCAATGCTGCCCATTCAATCTATACCTCTTCCCTGTTCGTTGCGGCGGCAAAGATGTTTGTTGTGGTGATTCTGGTTTTGAGTACTAAAAGACTCGTTCTCGGAATTACTCTCTCCGCTTTCCTGTTGTTTCTCCTCTACTTTTTTGGGAATTTCGCGGCTCCTTTCTTCGATCCCTCTCCGATCCGAAATCGGTTCTTCCGCCGCCGAGACGGATTGATTGTTCATGGAGGAGAAGAAGAGGATCCGTCCATGAACTCTGTCTCCAATAACGAAATCCAAATCGTGGAATCCAATTCCGAGAGGGAAAAATCAGGTTTGCAAGACGAGCGATTTCGAAATTGGGAAAAGGGATTGGGTTGTTGTTTGGATTTGCAAGTGGAAGAGGAGAATGAGGAGGAGAAGGGGCAATTCCAGGTGGGGAAGAATCAGAGAAGCAGGAGCGCGAAGCTGAGAACCAAAATCATAAATAAGTTGATACCGAAGAAGCTACGAAGTGGGAAGAGATTGAAAAGCAACAAGAGCGGGAAGAACAAAACGAAACAAGAAACGGGCAACGTGATCATGAGAAACGAACAAGGCACAGAATGGAGCTGCGAGAAAGAAGATGAAGAGGTTTGGCAAGTGTGGAAGCCTGAAGAACAAGAAGAAGAAGAAGAAGAGAGGAATAAGAGTTTGGATTGTGAATTTGTGATCCTAATGATCCTTTTGGGGCTTTGTGGTGGCCGATTTCTGGCACTTGTTCTTACAGTTTCAGGGTGTTTCATGCTCAAACTCATCAAAATTCTGAACCAGCAACGGAAATTTGGGTAAAGTAAAGGGTAGTCCACTAATGATTATTTCCTCTTTTTTTTTTTTTTTTTTTTCCTTCAAAAATTTGTTGGTGAATGGTGATAGTGATGATGATGGGAGCATATCTTAGAATGGGCCCGTTTGCATTCATACTGAACTTATTGTTCCAAAGAATATTTAACACTTTCTTACTTATGGATAGATGTAGATAACACCACACTTAAATTTTCATATTTACTTCTCATTTGTATTTACAAGTTTTATCTTTATATATACCGTTTTATTTAAATTGCTAATCTCATTCTATTTTATTGAATTATTCCATTTCAAAGAAAGTTAGCTTGTTTGTTTGTGCATCAATTTGATATTATTCTTAAACCTCATTCGTTGTCCACCGTCAACTCATTTCAATTCTTTTTGTTGGCATGACAAAACTATCTTTTTTATGTACTTTATAAAGAATAAATGAAATTGAAATGCCTTTTCATATAATTGCATATCAAATCTTTCTTAACAATATAATAACATGTCTATATTGAATTTTTAGGCAACATAGGTTATAAAGTCAAAGGAAATATAAAGCGATTGATTGAGTGGTAAAGGAAGTTTAGAATTGAAAGATACAATTTAAGATAGTGATTTGAGGAATGATTGTGATTTGAGGAATGATTGTGATTTGAGGAATGATAAGAGTTTAAGCCACACCTCCACAAGACCATAATGATTTGAAGGAGGTGTTTAACATCATTACCCCCATTACCTTCTTCCTTATATTATATTTCCCACATTTATATATGCTTTCTAAGATGATCCAGCTTCAGTCTTTATGTGATGGGTTGGAGGTTGGGGCCGAACAAAAAAGTGGGTTAGAGTGGACACATCCATCTCAAGACGGGCGTAGCGTAAAAGTTCAAGTATTGACTCATTTTGAAAGGACCCATTTTTTGGTTTTGGATTTTTGACGTTCATGGGAGAATGGGAAAATGGGAAAATGCTGGCATTGTGAATTTGTGAGGCTGAGCTAAGATTTCGATTCCAAAGGAGTGGGTGCTTTTGAACCTCCCGTTCTAATATAAAGCCCCCAATTTGTGTTCTCAAATCTTAGGCTTTCTTTCCTTTTCCTTCTTTCACGGGTCTGTTTTACCTTTCACTCTTAAAGCTCCTGAAGATCGCGTGATAGGGCTGGAGGAGGGCATTATTATAGAAGGCCGAAGTCATCTCGTGGAACCCTTTCAATCCTTCTCTTGGGTTTCTCCGTCTCCCTTGCATTCTGCCAAAAAGGTTGGTATCCGGGAGAATCTGGTTATGCTACCTGCAATTTCTTCTCTGTTTCTTAAATGGAGTAAATGCGGGTCGAAAAGGGAATATCTCGGTTTGTTTATTTAATTCCTCTTCTGGGTATTGCTCTTGAAATTCGTAAGTGAGTGAATATATTCTATTTTCCCAATGTACCTAACTCTTTAATGTTCTGCTAATTGGGATGCTCTGTTTTCATTTGTTCTCTTTTGGATTAATCCTCTTCTGGGTATTCTCTGTGTACTTCTCGTCCTTGAATTCATAAATCTTTTGGTTTATGTTCTTAGGTTCAACATTGAATTATTCTTTTGTTTGAGTCTTCCAATGGGGCATAGCCCTTTAGTTTGAACGATCTTTCTCCTCAGTTTCCAAGATTATGACTAGAAAATGAAATTGTAGTCTTTTGGATTTGAGAAATGATTTGAATGATCTGCCATTGATGAAAATCTAATGATTATGATTTAGCAAGTTAAATGGCGAGGGTTCTTTGCCTGGAGCATCACGTTTGAGAAATATAATTCTGCCTTTAACAGAACTTGTCACATCACGTAAAAGTCCTATTCTTTTAACAAGCATGCATGTTTTAAAGAGTTTGGTGAAAAACTTTAAGGCAAGTTAAAGTAATTCTATTCAGTAGTCTAATCCATGAGCAAGGGGTAAAAGAAAGTAGGCGAAGCCTTTCATTGTTCCATTATGTTAGTTTTACTGTAGATTAACAAAGGAGGGTTATTTTCTTATAGTAAGAAGATTCCAAGATGGCTTCAAAGACTTTTACTGTAGATTTAAACAAGCCTCTCGTTTTCCAGGTTAGCCTCCTCCCTTTTCTCCTCAGTGCATACACTGTTATTTCCTGTAGGCTTCACTGTCATTTAGTCTTCTTCAAACGGTTCTAACTAATGAAATCTTTGCAGGTTGGCCATCTTGGAGAAGCTTACAATAAATGGGTTCACCAGCCAATTGTTAGCAAGGAGGGCCCTCGATTCTTTGGAAATGATTTTTTGGAGGTTTTACTTACATTCTTTCTAATTATATGATATCACACAACCTGAAGTTAGTGTGCATACATAGATGTGATAGTTGATATATGACTTTCCTGAAATGAGTAATGGGAGGTTTGCCTTTAATTTCTTGGGTCATTAACAGATGTTGACACGCACAGTATGGTGGGTGATTCCACTTGTTTGGCTGCCAGTGATTTCCTGGTTGGTTTCTGTGTCTTTGTCAAGGGGCCTTACTCCTTCAGATGTGGCTTCGTGTTTGGCTGCTGGGGTTTTCATCTGGTCTTTGCTTGAGTACACATTGCACCGCTTTCTTTTCCACATGGAAACAAGAAGCTATTGGTACTCTCTCTCTCTTTCACTCACACACACACACAGATGAATGGTGAGTTCAAGGACAGTGATGATGTCACAACCTGTTTCAGGGGAAACACTCTGCACTATCTACTTCATGGTTGTCATCACAAGCATCCAATGGACGGACTCAGACTCGTCTTCCCACCTGCTGCAACAGCCATCTTAAGTGTGCCGGTAAGTTCCAAAAATGGTCACCTCTATATGCCGTCAGGTTGAGTGATCTACACTGTCATATAATTTAAAAGAGGAACCTTAAGGATTGGAACTGGATAATGATTGACCATTGGCCTCAATATTTATCTTTCTGCTTTGGCAATAATAACTGTCACTCCTAGAAATGGTCAATGAAATAATCTGTGTAATTTTGTGCAATCTAAGTACGTAATCATATGAAGCTGTGTTTGTGATTTGTGTGTGCCAGTTGTGGGTCGTGATTAGACTTGCATCGACTCCAGCAGTAGCTCCTGCTTTGTTCGGAGGTGGTTTGTTGGGATATGTAATGTACGACGTAACTCATTATTACCTGCATCATGGAAAGCCAACCTCAGGGTTGTCTCAAAATTATAAGGTAATGTCTTGGCTTTTCCACGTTTTTGAGATTCCAGAAGGAATGATTTCTTATGATTGTTATGCGTTGGACAGAGATATCACTTGAACCACCACTTCAGGATTCAAAGCCAAGGATTTGGTATCACTTCTCCATTATGGGACAGAGCATTTGGAACATATCCTTCTACTAAATCCATTCAGGAAAACAAATGAAGATGTTGGCTGCACAAATATTATCTCATCACTAGATTTTTGTATTGGGTTTGTTCTTCTTTTTTGTACATTAAGCGTTAAGTTCATGCTTTGACAACCATTATATATATATTTTTTGGGCGACAGGGTAGCGCCTGCATATCGCCCGCCTTTCTTGAATACTCTATTCTTCTTTCTTCCTTCTGGTTATCAGATGCAGTATGCTGTTTTCATGTTCATCAGCTATGGAGCTATACTTGAATGAGAATTGTGTATTTGCATTTGTAAATTGTGAAGCTGCTATGCTGTCTGTGTCATCTGTTTTCATGCAGAAACAGACACTTTTAAAAAGAAGAAAAAACACTAAATCTGAGAGTCCAAAACGAAGAAGCTGAAAGGAGTGAGACCCCATGTTGGTTGGAGAGGAGAACAAAACATTTCTTATATGGATGTGGAAACCTCTCCCTAGTAGACGCATCTTAAAAACAGTGAGGTTGACGTTAACATGTAATGGGCCAAAGCGGACAATATCTACTAGCGATGAGTTTGAGTTGTTACAATTTCTCTTCTGGCACCAATCTGCCGTTGCTGCCAAGGAATGCAAAATCGATTCTCGAGCCTAGTTTTTGTTTTAGTAGACAACTTTTTACTTCAAAAGGGTGACCAATCATACCCAAAAATGATCGGTGACGACTCCAAACCTCCTTTCTAAGAAGAAATCGTTCGATAAAAGATGTCAGCCACTCTGTAGCATTGGAATGACGTTGCGACTGAGGTATTATTTGACTTATAAAACCATCTTAAGCTGATATCTTTTCATTGTTCTGGTTTGAATTCATTTGTTTCTTAGGAGAAAAATCCGAAGGCTCATTCATTCACTGCATCACTTCATAATAGATTTATCAGTATCTTATTGCACTTACGGCCCAAGCAAGTTACAAACTTTAAAGGTAAGGTAAAAAGTAAACACATCAAATAACTCTAATCAAATCCCCTTTCGGAAGATCCAAACCTTAAACTTTCAGAAGTTGGAATAGGTGGAATGCTCTGTTCATGTCTGAAGAAGTTATCAGGATCAACCTTAGTCTTAACTCTCAGCAATCTCCCAAAGTTTTGCCTGAAATACCGAGTTCCCCATCCGATCGCCTCGATGTAGCTCGTGTTGCTGTTCTTCTCGTTGATTCCCAAATCAAGATCTCTGTAATTCACATATGCTTCTCTTGGAAGCTGAGAAACATAAGGTGCCATGTAATTGTAAAGCTTCTTGATCCATTGCAGGTGTCTGTCTTCATTTCCTTCTTCCTTTTGCCATGTAGTTAGGTACTGAATCTTGTAAAGGACTCCTCTCCTGTGAGGAAATGGGATCTGAGTCTCTGAGATTTTGGCCATCATTCCACCATAAGGATTCCATATCATCAATGGGCTTTCTTCTTCATACAACCTTTTCCAGAGCCCTTCAAGACCTGTTTCTGGAATGGGGTCTCTCACGAAGTCTGATTTGGCTTTGAAGAAGTTCTTGAAAGTGGATTTTCCTTGGAGAAGCACTTCTGGTGGAGTTCCACTTGGATAACCAGCAATGTAAAGAACTGATTTGATCCAACTTGTTTCTATGCAATCTTTTCTTGTCAA